TAGCTTTTGCACGTACAAATGCAAATTCTGTTTGGTAGGATTTTTGTGATTGGAAATACTTGCACAGATAAATACATTTATCTACAGTAGATACTGTAGGACTTGTAAAAATTAGTGTGAAATCCAGATATAAAAGCAATAGAGGTCAAAACATCCATTAACATGAAAACATTCATTAAAACTAGAACAATTTGTGCAATGATTGAAAAGCCTGTGTTTGCTTCAGAAATCATCAGAAAAGGAGATACTGCAGCATGCTGTGTTTATAGAAATTAGAGGAATAATTTATACTAAGAATTAGCTAATTGTGTTCTGCCTGTTTAGTCTCCCTTCCTTATCCGAAGTCTTTTTAAGCTGTTTTTATAGCATTTTCTGTCTGTTTTTTTGCTTAAGAGTGTTTGACATACTCCTTTTTTAGTGTTGACTTTATGATGGACGAGGCAAACCCTTTCAACGTGATCCATGGTGTAAAGTATTTTGTGATCATTTGAAATTAAAGTAATTATATAAAATATTCATAATATGCTAATTTCAATCTTATGTTTCATGTAAAGGCGGAAGAGATAACTTTAACAATTGGCCAAGCATTTGACTTAGCTTACAGGAAATTTCTGGAATCCGGAGGAAAAGATGTTGAAACAAGGAAACAAATTGCAGGTTTACAGAAAAGAGTAAGTTCTGAGCTATGGCTTTTTCAAGAGATAAAAGAACATGCTACGGTATTTGTGCTATCTACTTTCTATAGCAGCATAATTTCTAGCATTATTCTCAGATTGCTAAGAATTGCAACAGATACTAAAAAAAATTTAAAAAGACCTGATAACTGTGAAACAGTATTTTATGTTTTGCCATCTTGCAAGGTCATTAAAGAGAAAAGCAAGGTTGAAATATGGAAGATACAGATATTTGTTTTTTGTATTCACATAAGTAGTTAACCATTGCTTCTAAATCACCAGATCTCAGATAAAACTTCATCTAAATGGACTCTGTTGTTGAAATGAATTAGTATTATAATCACTGTTGTAATATCCACTTGCTTTGTAGATTCAAGAATTGGAAACTGAAAACACAGAACTGAAAAATAAAGTTCAAGATTTGGAAAACCAGTTAAGAATAACACAAGTACAGGCATCTCCAGTAAGTACATGAACATAACTCTTATATCTGAAGTTACTCTAAATTTATAATCATTGTGCTATGGTAATTATTAGCATCTGTGCTGTTTCCAGTGATTGTGATTAACATACAGTGATCAGGTAACAGATCTGGTGAAATGCATTATTGAAGTAACAGTAACATTGTGACAAGACAGCAAAAGTGCAAATTGCAGTCTCTCAAATTGTGGTTCTCTAGTCCATTTGTCATATCTATTTGTTGATGCCTGAAGACAGTAAATACTTCCTCTAGTCGACATCCAAGCATGCCAGCTAAGGATGAAATCCCTTTGTCATATCTATTTGTTGCTGCCTGAAGACAGTAAATACTTCTTCTAGCCGACATCCAAGCATGCCAGCTAAGGATGAACAAGTCTGTTCTGCAATTAAAGGATCTGGTTCACGAATGTTACCTGGGATTTTTCTAAGAACTTTCTGTCACAAGCATATTGTCACTTACAACTGACATTTTCTAAATGAATTTGAAAAATGTTGTTTGCCTTTCAAAGGACTCATTAGGTCTCAGGAATTAACATTGGGTGGGGAGGCAAAAAGGAGAAAGTGTGGGTTCCTCATAATGGAAAATTTCTAGCACTTTCTGCGGTTCCTATGGATGATCACACGTATTTTATCTGACTGACTGACAGCTACTTATATCTAGGCAGGACCTCTAAAAATGCAGGTTGCGTTGCAGACTGCTCCTAATGACTCCCCTCTTATTACAAGTGTATTCTAACCATACAGCACCAGGTAACTGTGAAAATAAATAAAGTTTCTTAATGTACGTATAGCAAAATCTTAGAAAAAGATGGACTGCTTTTAAGCTCTGCACTTTGGGGCACCTTGTTTCTGCTCTGGATGTGCAGCATTTCACTTCAAATGGATGGTTAGAGATTTGGGCAATGTAAAAGTGTGTTTATAAAGGTGATGACAATTTTTCAGTAGTGTCTCTACACTCCCTTGATATTGATTAGATGGTTGTTCCCATGAGGAACTGTCATTTTGTTTTACTAAAACCTATTTAGAGGAGAGAGCACCATAAATTATAAATCCTGCGTAATTCCCAGAGTGAGAACAGCGAATTGTGGATGTCCTCTCACTTATGAAGCTTTCAGTGAAAGATAATAAACTTTAATGAGAGATTTAAAATAACTTTAGTCAATTCTTTAATCTTTTATTTTCCTTAATTGGGATGGCAGCTAGTTTGTTTATGACTACAACAACTTCATGTATCCTTGAATTCAATCTGGATTAAGCTACTTTCCTCTTCTATGGTTCTTCAATCAGCTGTGCAGCCAACAATAAAACAAACACACAAACACATTTTTAGGAAGGTGTCTTTCTCAAATCTAGGAACATAACTATCCACCAAACACTATCAGCTTTTGTACCTTGCCAACAGGCAGCATTCCAGTAGCTCTGTTTCAAACTAGATGGTGTACATAGTAAATCAGAGCTCTTAATTGCGCTAGCGTGGAAGTAAGTACATATAAATGCAACAATGAGGTTGAAAATAAATGAAGGAATGGAATAGTGAGGTTAGGAAGTGACTTCAGTGCAGGGAAAAGGAAGTATAAGTGTTTTTAAGATACTTTGAGTCCAATAAAGGGATCATAAGTCAAGAGTGCCTGGAATAGCAATGGATGTGATTTGATAATACCTATCTCTTGGTTTACTATGTGAGCAACAAATACGTATGAAAGAAGGAAATTACAAACATAAGACGATCAGTTGCCTGTTATAGTTTGCAATTAATTAATTTCAAACACTTAATTCAAATCAACTATCATTTCAAGCATGGCTTTGCAAAGTCTCAACTCCTAGTAGAAAAAAAGCAGAAGTGGCACAACGAATATTTTTCTCTATTTCCACAATCTCTGTAGTCAAAATGATCACTTTAGTTTTAAAAAAAATTAGAGATTTTTTCTGAATTTAAATTTAAAGCTTTAAGTACCATATTGTTAAAAATAGCTGTGCTACTGCTGCTCTATGTCTTCAAAATTAGAAAAGAAAAATACCATTTCTATCTTGTGATCATTTTGTCAGAGTAAAATTTTCAAATCTACCAGCAGTATTTTGTTACATACTGAAATAAAATAGCTTACCGGAGTGAGGGAGAATACCCAACATGAGCAGTAGTACCTCAGCTGAGTCACTTCCTGAGCTCTTTGGGTTAGATGGGGGAAAACTTGCTTCCCTGCAGATATTCTTCACATTACATGCTATGAACATAACACAATTATTCTTGTGATTTAAAACAGATTAATTAAACTCTAAATTTTAGGTTTTCTCACAGCTCTCGTATCCATGCTATTGAATTATAAAGAGATGCCAGTGCCACGTGAGAGCTTTCTGAAGCTTTTTTAGACATAATAGGTGATTTGATTTATTTGTAGTTAGTTAATTTGATACAGCTGGAACTCCTTGTCTATCAGTCCAGTTCTGTGTGCTGAGGTCTAGGGAGCGTGTGTTTAATGACTGATGGAATGTTTAAGCCCTGATACTTGATACCTAATATGATAATAGTACATGTGCCATTAACTGGCATCACAGTCATTTGTAAAGAAATGTTCAGTTTCAGGAGCGAGCTGCAGATGGTTATGAAGTTGTTTCTGTTTATGCTTAAAAATAGTACCTTGAAATTTTGTACCTTATGCTTTCTTTGTTGTATTTGGTTGTTTGCATGCTGTTTGTACTTTCTCAACATTTGCCAGACGTGCTGCAATGGCTTGCCTGTCTTCTGAGTTATTGACTGTGCTCCTCCTTTAGTGATTAATGCGCGGTCACAAGAAATACTTGTTAATCAGCGATTGATTTAGCACTTTAGAAGTCAACACTAGCAACTTGATTGAACAAGTATATACTTAAAGAAGCAGAAGATGTTGCAAGGGCCTGTGATGACAGAACATGACATATAAACACTGAAACCACATTGTGTGCTACAGCCTTTTCTCCTTCCATTCCCATCCCTATGGACAGGGGACTGCGAGCCATGCAGTCTGAGCAGGCATAATTTCAGGCTGCCAAGGGCTGTGTATTTTTGTCCTCCATGAGAGAAGTTGGGGGTTTTTAGTGTTTATTGGACCTGTGGTGTGAAACAGTGCTGTTAGAGACACCAAGTGATGTCACTGATGTGCTTTATCTGTTAAAATCTAGGACAGAATATGTCTCCCACTTATTGGTAACTGAGAAACCGTAGTATCACTGTATGCAGTGCCAGTCCCTCATTTCTTTACTCCTGCTTCTTCCTTCTGAAGTTGATTGATTTTTGTGTCTTTAATTTTTCTAGACACATTAGTCTTCCCATTTATTTTTAATGAAATTAAGTAGAAAATACCTTCAGAAATTTGAAGCTCAATTCTTTTTGTATTATTTCACTGACCCTTGACACTGTTTTTTAAAGAAAAAGCCATTTCTGCTTTTTCTGACAGTGAAGCCCAAGCTCAGATTCCCAGACCATTTTCCCACAAACACAACCAGGTTGTATCTCCTATTCTCACTACAGTATCGAAAAAGGCAATAGAATCTGAGAGCATCTTTAAACTGTGGATGGATGACTCAAGATGTATATAGTTTTAAACGTTTGGCTCATTGCACATTAAAAAAAAAAAAAAAAAGTGCTTCAGTTCTAAGTAGATACATCCAGATGTTTATAATAAACTTTTCTAACTTCCTATTGTCATTTTAAATGGGCTTGCTAGCTAACTATGAAGACATACATAAAGCCATTTGCTGGAACTCATACTCGGGATCTGATGTAATACTGTCAAGACTTAAAATTCAGATCCTCTTTTACTTCCAAAATATTTTAAAAATATTTTGTCTATATTTATCAACGATGGTACTTTACGTATCTGATGCTCAAGAATAAATTAGACTTACCAGGCTGGACTGCAATATGTGACTTAGTGACAGGAGAATATTACCCATGGTGACTTATCCAAAATCCATCACTGGTCTAACTAAGAGAATAAAACGCAAGCAATGAATTGTAAGCTGAGGCTTCATTTTAAGCATGGAATTAAAAATAATTGGGACGATTGGTATTTTCACATATGAGAGAATATTTTTCCAGCTGAAACATCTGTTACTAATTAATTTTTTTAGGCAATAGTAGTGAATTGGAACATTAAGGTGTTTATTGTGAGCCCTCAATTGCTCTGTTTGAAAAAAAATCCACTCACATATGAAAACTG